GACCCTAGAGGAGGAGTGGGGATGAGAAGGGACAGGAGACACAAAGAATGCGGACAAGACAGGATTCTGATCAAGTCCCATTTATTCAGGGGAGGTGCTGGGTATATATAGGGAGTGTAGGAATGAGGAAGTCTTGGCTCTAGGGGGTCAGCAGGTATCTAGGCAATGGGGGAAGTGCCACCTCTGGGGCATTGCACGTGATTCACGGGGAATGGGCAAGGTGAGAAGGACCATACTTAACAGGGGAACAGAAACTTAAGAGAATGGCTGACACTATTATAAAATGGATAGCAGTTAATGGCTTCCCACAGAGCATCACTTCCTGGCTCCAGTGCAGGCCCCTCAGCCTGCTGGCACAGACTTTCTAGCTTCCACCACTGACCTTGGGCCTTCCCAGCACAGATCCGTGAGGCAAGCCTGCATGAGACACTGTCGGGGGTTCTAGGCCTCCAGCTGGACTCACAGGAGGCATGGGTTGGGGCTCTAAGTCTTCTGCTGTCCTCATGCAGGATATTAGGATCCAGGCCCTCAGCTGGAGTCTTCAATATGCAGATAGATTTCCTTTGTATGTTTCTTTGGGTGGATCATTATAAAATGTGACCTGTACTGTATTGTTCCCCTTGTAATAACCCCAAACCATGACAACTTTGGTATCAGAGAACAGGGTTCTTGCTGTGACTACACCTGATCATGTGACTCAAGAGCTTTTGGAAATGGCTGTGGGAAAAATCTGGAGGGCTGTGGAGATGTCGCCTGGAAGAGTAGAGTTGAAATGTCTTAGGCTGTTGTGTATGGGAGAGTCTGGTCAGAGCTTGAAAGAACAGAACACTGATAGTAATCCTGCCCAGAAAGACGGGGCTCAGGTTCACGAGCTTTCTGCTGGGAGGAAGGACACACTGGCTGCTGGACTCTACATGATGTATGCCATGGCTTGGCAGAAAATTTGTCTGCATTTTGCTCATGTCCAGAGACTTCGCTGGGCCTGGGATTAATGGCAGTAAACTAATTAATGTGGCAAAAGAAATTTCAAAGCAGTCTAATGTTGAGGGAGGCACAGCTATTGTTGGGAGCTTTCAGTCAGATTTATGTTGAGAATCAAGAGCAAAGAGCCCAGGAGAATGATTTAAAATGTTGTGTATCTGTCCAGAAAGGAAGCTCCAGTAAAGCTGCGGACTGCAAAGAAACAGCAGAGAAGATGACTGCGAAGCAGAGACAGGGGGACAGAAAAGGTGGTCTGAGGGAATCACAAGAAAAAGCAGCTGTACACTTTTTGGCGCCTCATACCTGCAAAGGAGAAAGACTGCTTTGAGGAGGAAACCCCTGGCACCATGTTCCCGAATCCAGCAGCACAGAGTTTGTTCCTAGAATTGCGTTCACAGTGCCTAGCGACCTAGGCGCTTGGCCTCTACAGCCAGGAGAGGAAGGCCTGGCTCTGCTCCAGCTGGCAGCAGACCTTGGCAGCACCCGTGGGCACCGGTTTTTGGCACATGCATATTTCTAGAGTTCTGAGGTTAAGAAGGCTTCCACCTAGCTTTCAGAAGGCCTGGGAGGCCAGGCAGTGTGCCCCTGTGTGGGCAGTGTGTGAAGCTGCGAGTGTGGACAGAAAGGTGCTGTGGAGACCCTAGAAGCTTGAAAGAGCAAGTAATGTGGATAATCTGAAGAAAGCTGCAAGGAGGGAGCAAAGCAGACCCAAGAGAGAACCATAACCACAACCAGCACCAGTGCCGTGGAGGCGGCGCCACATGGAGCTCACAGTTCGCCATAGACTGCTTTGGATTTCCCACATGGAACTACAGAACTTAATGTTTGCTCTGCTGGATTTTGGACTCACTTTAGTCCCAATGCTTTGCATCCCCATTTGTATCTTTTGGAATGGCTCTATTTTTCTTATGCCATTGAATGTTCAAAGTGCTTAACTATTCATTTGTATAGGAGCTCACAGCTAAGAGTTTGCCTTACATCTTGGAGGATACTTGGGACTTAGACTTCTCAGCAATGCTGAAACTGTTAGGACTTTGGCAACTCATACAGATGGACTAAAATATCTTTTGCATAAAGAGATTTGTATGAGTCTTTGTCATTCCAGGCAACAAAGACTGTTATGGTTTGTGCTTCGATGTCCTAGCAGAGCTTCATGCAGTCATGGGGCAGGCTTCTAGAGTTTGTGATTGATTCTTAGTCCAGTGCTGGGATTAGGGGTGTGAGGGCTACACCAGCCCTGGGGCCAGTAGCCTGCATACAGTAGAAGGGCAGGAGAGAGGCTTGCTCCTGTTGCTCCTCCCTTTTTTTTTTCTCCTCCCTTTTTGCTTTCCTATTTTTTTTCTGTCTTCCACTGCCATGAACTGCTGCCCTCTGCCATGTGCCACTCTGCCTTGGAGCCAGCTGAGCATGGACTGAAACCTCCACAAACTGTGACTAAAAGATAAACCTTTGCTTTCTTAATTCTAGGTGTTGGGTATTTTGTCTCAGCAATGAATGAAGGAAAAATAATTAAGACAGAGGTGAAAAGAGATGCTGAACTCCGTCCTGCTATCAGGCACCCACTGGGCACCTCAGGCTCACCTCAAAGTCCTGGTTTAGAATCTAGGAAGGCTTGGGCTTTTGATCTGGGCCGCTGAGGCAGGGAGAAGGAGTAGAGAGCTGCTGGAGGCTCAAAAGACTTTGCTAACCTCCAGAGGGCTGCAGTGTGGGGTGGAGGGTGATAGCCAGGGAACATGTTGTTGTGTCCACACCATGTTGTGAGTGCTTACTGCTGATGTGAGGGCCTTGGAGCTTGTGCACTGGGGGCAGGAAGGCTGGGAATGCCGCATCTGCAGGGGGGACCACGTCGCACACTTGTGTCGTCCCCACTATGCTGCCATCTCCTCACACACGTCGCCTGCTGGGCCCCAGTGCTGTGGTCCTCACAGCAGCAGGACATGTCTTTGGTCTACATCTCCATCAAAACGGGATAAACGAAAGGCAGGGTCAGAAGGCTGTGGGCTTCAAGAGAAATGGCCAGGTACCTGGCTGTGTGGATGTGGGGCTTGCTTTCTATCACCCAGCCTCGCTTGTGCTCTCTGCTGGGTCCCAGTCAGTGAATGGTTTTTCAGGTCTGTTTTAGGGAATGTCACAAGTGTCATTTTGACTGATTTAAAGTAAATGGAGAGAATTTGGGATCAAGGCATACACTTCAGCACTTAGTGAATTGTGTTCCCCACAGGCTTGCATTCAAGTCCTCACCATTGTCCGGTGCCCGCAGCTCTGGAAAGGTAGGGACAGATGGCCGGAAAGCACTTACCTTGCCCACTGGACAGCTGGGGTTCATTCCAGGAACCACACATGCTCACGCATGCACGCTTATACACACAGGCACAATGGGGGTTGCAAACCCAGGGGTCCCGCCTGGCTGGACTGCGGCCCTTAGTATTGTGGAAAGGGCTGCAGTTCGTCCGTCTGCTCTGGTGGCCGAGATGGGCTCTGACTCCAGGACGGGCCTCACCAGCAGCGTTCTGAACTCCCATCCTTGGTGAGCACCCCGCTAGGGATCGAGTGGGCCCAGCCAAGGATGAGCTGCAATGCCTGGGACACATGTGATGGAAAAGGCCATCCACCACCTTTTCTAGCAAGTGCAGTCGCCACGCAAGCCTCTCGGGAGAGTGTTGTCCCCATCCGGTGGGTCCCGGCCATAACTCTAGGAGAAAGCAGGTGGCATTGCCAAGGTGCCTCCGGAGGTCTGGCAGCCCTGCCTTCACCTCCCATGGTGGAGAGCAAAGCCTTCTCCCGTGGAAGGGCAAGGCGGCCTGGGCTCCTGCCAGAAGCAGCTGCGCAGGAACGTGCGCCCCGCGGCCCCTCCAGCCCAAGCGCCGGCTTTCCAAGGGAAGGGCCACCTCCAGGCCCATTCCAGGCCCATGCGAACCGTCACGTCAGCCCTGACAAGCTGACAGTGTCCACGGAGTGTCTGGACATAGGAGTAGGCACTGCCAGAGGACTGAGACGATCATCTGGAAAAGAAATGGGCGACGTGCAGAAGTCTACCTGGCTAAAAATGAAGCAGTAACCTTCTCAAGAGAATTCAGAAAACCTGCGCGTGGTCGTGGGTGCACGTGTACGCTGGCTTGTTCCTGGTGGGAAAGGCACCACCATGATACCCCTTACACACACCAGATCTTCAAACAGCAGCCTGACAAAAGCTCACGGGCTATCGCCGTTCCAGTCCGGGTTCAGATTCACAGGTAACGGTCATGTATTTGCTGTTCTGAGAACCAAGTTAGAAAGCACGATCCCAGTAATTTCCATACTACTTTTTTTGGCGATTTTTTTTTTTTAAGCTTGTTTTGGACCACAAAAGAACGTTCTCTCCCCATGATCCTGTCCTCCTACCCCTGCCCTCGCCACGCACGAATGGCTCTTGGAGGCTCAGTGCCAGATCCCCAGTGACAAGGAACCAGAACAAGTCCTAGCCGCCCTGCGCCTGTAACAGTCCGCCCCAAGGCGCAGGGACTTGTGCTTCCGCGCGCGGTCACAAGGGGGCAGCAGAGGCCCGCGCCTTCTCCACTCTCGGGACCGCACCCTCCAGGCTGCCTGGCCCAGGAGCGAGGCTTGGGGACTACCGGCGAGAGGGGAGGCTGGAGAGCCAGCCGGCAGGACAAGGGGCGAGCGCACTGCTCCCCGCCGGCGGGGGAGTGGCGCTGTGGCGAGCGCCCGGGCCGACTGTCCTTTAGGCACGCGCGGCCGGCTAGCGAGAGCCGCGCGCTGGCGCCGCTGCGACCCGACTGCCCACGTTAGGAGCCGGGACCGGAAAGCAACGGGACAGGCAAAGCCGGGGCGGATCTGGCGGAGAGGCTTTCGCAGCACAGCTAATTTCGCGCAGGGCCGAGCGACGGGGCCACAGCGGCCGCGGGGCCTTGCCAGGGCGAAACCGGCAAGGCTCTGATGAGTCACGGGAAGCTGGAAGCTCCGGGGTGCCTGGCTCGCCGTGACACTGCGGATCCCGGCGGGCGACCCGCGCCTCCGCGGGCTCATGGCGGGGCGTCCTCGGTCGATCCCGCCGCAGTACCCGGGGGCAGAACAGCCGAGAACCGGCTCCCGCTCGCAGCTCCCCCGCAGCAAGGCAAATTGGCGGTGCTCTGGGAGGCCCGCTCGGAACGCGCAACCACGCACGGCCTCGCACCGCCCCTGCAGACAGCCCCGCCCCGCGACAAAGGCAGGAACGTAGTTGTTTCACTACTTCATTGAAAAACTGCAACATACTACACGCAATAGCCATTTCGCTAAGCTACCCACTTTTTCAGGAACTTCCTCCCAGACGTACTCACAAGCCTCAGAAGACAAAAGCCGACATGCACAGTGCCAGCTACTTTTCCTGAAATGCTGAGTGGCTCTGAAAAGAGCCTTTGGGGTGCGCGCACGGGAGCGCTCACTTGGAGCTCGTGTACTTGGTGACGGCCTTGGTGCCCTCCGACACCGCGTGCTTGGCCAGCTCCCCGGGCAGCAGCAGCCGCACGGCCGTCTGGATCTCCCGCGACGTGATGGTCGAGCGCTTGTTGTAGTGCGCCAGGCGCGACGCCTCGCCCGCGATGCGCTCGAAGATGTCGTTGACGAACGAGTTCATGATGCCCATGGCCTTGGACGAGATGCCCGTGTCGGGGTG